CTGAAGAATTTCTTTCATTTAAAATTTGTACAAAACCAATTATTTCCGATTGGAAAAATCGACCAAAAATTCGAATAAGACTAACACTTTTAGGATCATCTGCAATAGGCAAAACAGTGTTAGCACAATGTTTAAAATATGGACGTTGGCCTCAAACTATGACATTACCAACTTCAACAATTGGAAGTGATATACTCTTTTATTATTTAGATAAATTATTTCGAAATGAATATGTTGTTGCTATTCAATTAAATGATCCACCAGGACAAGAACAATTTGAATCAGTAACAAATCATTTCTTTCGAGAATGTCATGGAGCTTTACTATTAGCTGATACGACACGTTTAGAAACTCTTGATCGTTTAGAAAAATTTTGGTATCCAAAATTAGAAAAATTCGGTATGGATCATTTCCAAAGTGTACTTGTATGTACAAAAATGGATTTATTTGAAAAAGAAGATATAAAATATCGCGAATTATTTCTTCAACGTTCACAACAATTTGCTTTTGCACATCAAATGCCAATTGTTAATATTTCTGCTTATCGAGGTGATAATATCGAATATCTTTTCAAACAATTAATTATTCGAATTATGGAAAATGATATACTCATTAATGATTTAATAAATCAAGCAATTTATTCTCAAAAATTAAATATTATTCAACAAAAAGTAATACCAGACATTCATATATCAGAGAAACAAAAATCGAAATTTACATGTTGTAATTAAACTATAGAATTTCAAAGATAATTTGTAATAAATGTATTATATATGATTCAATTTTCTATATACACAAAAGACATTTTTTGATTAAATAAAATAAATCATAAACATGTCATATCTATATCGAGTGTAGGTGAGGATGTATCTCTCTTTTATCTCATATACACCCACACCCAAATAAATAACTAAATACAAATGAGAGAAAGTATCCGAAATGAGATTTCAGCTCAACAAAATTTGAAGCTAAACAAATCAAAAATATTCTAAACAATTTAATTTTTTATGCACCAATCATGTTCATTAATGTAACTTAAGTTCGTTCTTCGTTCATCTAATCCTATTCTTGGAGAAAAAAAAGGAAAGAAACAATGTTAATTGGGCTGATCTATTCAATCGATAGCATGATATTATAATTCATAATGGTGTATCTAAGAAAACTGAATAAGGATAATTCGAAATATTTTACATAGGACGAAAATCATAACTTTCGAAAAAAGACACATGAACTCTTATCCTTTTGAATGCGTTTTATTCTTACCTAGTCTTACTAATGGAGAAAAAATCACACAGTTGTGCGCATTTGATTTGAAAAACATGAAAATATAGTCTGAAGAAAAAATTAAAAATATAACATTCATAAATTATTTTAATTGAATGATCAATACCAAACGAACCAAAATAGATTCTCTCATACTTCTATGTTAATGTTAATTCTAAGTATAAATTTTCGGTATTAAAGAAACTTTGTGTAAAATATTTTCTAAAAACTTTCTTTTATTCATATAAAAAACAAAATACACACACACACACACAGTTCTATTTTCCACCGGTAGTACCCATTCCCATAGCTGTTTTAAATGTATCATAAATCCACCATTGTAAAGCAGCAATTGTTCCAATCATAATAATTCTTGGTCCAAGACCTTTCGTACATAAATTCCAAGCACCAAAATCTTTCGTTATTTCTTTCATTGATTTATTTTTATATTCTGGCTTAGCCATCAATGAAACAATTGAATCACCTGGATGAGATACAATAGCACAAAGAATTCCAGCTAAATAACCTGCAGCAAATGTTATTCCTAATTGTGTTGTTTTAGAATAATTTGTTTTTGGTTCTGTAAATACATGAGTATAAAACATTTGAACAGTCTAAAAATAATTTCAAAAAAAAAAGAAGAAATTTTGAAAAGAAAATCATATTGAATAAATACTTTTTCAAAAAAATAAAATTTCGTAACAGTATATGGAATTTGTCTTGACCATAATGGTACAATTGATCCATATGGAAAACGTGTTGTTTTTCTATTTTTATTCATTGCAATTGTTGCTGGTATTAATCCTGTTGGAAATGTACCTGGTGGACTTGTTTGAACTTTAACTTTAACCATTTCCATTGGACATAATGCGAGACAACCACAAAATTCAGCTGCTGCAGCTCCACCAAGCCAAATTAATCCACGATATTTTTGTGCATAATCATAACCAACAAAATTCGATATAGCATCTTTAAAAACTTCATAAAGACCAAATTTTAAAGCACCTTGAGGTGAATAACCTAAAATTGTTGGTTCCCATCCTTTCCATATTCCTCGACTACCTTCTTTATTTATAAGTGTTCTAATACTACCAAATAAATTTTTATATTTTCCTGGATCAACCTAAAAATATATTTTTTTTTTCTTCTTCTATCTCGTTCAATTAAAAATTTTAATTTAATTAACCTGCATATTACATTTAGCTACATCAAGTGGTGTTATAAATAAATGTGTTGAACCACATGCAAGTGCACCACCAATTAAACATTTCCCATAATAAATATTATCATGTGGAACAATACCAGCTGTTCGAGCATTCCATAATTTATTATTTCCATCTATCATAGTCATTATTTATCTGAAGAAAAAAAGGAGTGAACTTGACATACCCATCAATTTATAATGATCATGTAAAATAACAAATGTTTTCAGTCGATGGGCTATGAAATTAACATGTAGAAAAATAAAGAAAAAAAAACACATATAACGTATGATTATCGATTGTGGTAAAAGGCGCCAGATATTGTAGAAACAGTACAAAAGAAGAAAAAAAAAATAAAATGAGTAGAACAAAAAAACATAACTTGCTTGACGAAACCTTTTGCTGCTTTTCACTTGTAATTCAAAATTTTTTTATAGAACAAACATGAGAAAAAATGTCTGTCTATAACCCTGGCAAATGTTTTCATTATAATGTTCTTTTTTTTATTATTTCATGTTAACATAGTTTGTTCGTCAATCTATTTTTATTTTCATCATATAAAAACAAAAAAATTATAATAAAATTTAATTCTATTATTTTAAAGAAATATTGAAACTTAAAAGAAATAGTTTGATATAATGATGGTTTCGTATATGTAAAGTAATATTCACAAGTTAAAAAGCTTGTTTTAGTTGTTTATTAATAATAGATGAAATTTACATTCGTTCAATGATGTATTAATTCCAAAGATACTATCAGTCAAATCAATATCATCCATAAGAGAAATTCATATTAGTTCTATTTATTTTATTGTTAAATTATTTGAAGAAAATTTCGATTTTATCTTAATAGTATTAGTATAACTTAGTTATATCTTTCTCTCATGTGTATTTCTTTCTTTTCCTTCGTATATTTGTCTCTTCTCCCACGTGTGTCTAGTATTTGTGTTACTGTATGACCTTTTATGGACCTCGATCCATTCTCTATGAGTTTGATAAAGAGAAGAAACTTCTTGACGAATTCTTTTCTTTATACATTCCACATATATATATACTCGTGTTTTTTCTGAATAAAATTGTCGATTTTCTTTGTTTAATTATTCGTACAAGATAATACATTATATTTTGAATGACTGAATTCTATTTGAGATATATTGATTATTTAAAAAAGACATCCTTCATAATGGAATAAATATGATTGATTTTGAAAATTGACTCTATTCTATACAGTGGCAGCGGAGTGTCATTGACGTAAGTGGCGCTCATAATATTTTTTTTTTACATGAAGCAAAATATAAATCTTCCTTTTATTAGACCTCAATAAAAATTACAATGGTCATTGTGAAAACAAAATCAATCAAAACGTACCAAAAAAATAACTTTTTCTGTTCGTCCTTCGATGTAAAATTTGAAAAGAAACTTTTCTTGTATATATATACGTCAAAAAGAAAAATGAATGAATGTTTGGACGTCTTTTAGCCATTAAATACACTGTAAAGAGGATAGAAATCAATCCGATCACTACTGAGCTACTTCTTTATTGCCGCAATAATATACATATATATGTGTATGTGTGTGTATACGCGCTTAGAAAAAAACAAACGTTCTGGGAATAAAACATATATAGACGAAATAGAGAAAAACTAAACATACGGACAAGAAAACATGTAATAAAAGAGGAAAAATACCTCAACAACATATACACAAGGAAAATATCCAAGTAAAAGAAAAGAAAAAAATACATGATACATATATACATAAGTTGTATGCGACACCTACGTGATAAAAGAATAGATTAAAGAAAAATATATAAAAAATAGGTAAACCACATTGTAAGATAGATATATTAAAACATATTTAATTATGTTAGATGCCGAATATAACAAATTCTAATAATAAAAGATAATATTCAATTTGAAAATAAGTGAGGCTGAGCCTCAACACTCCGCCGTCACTGATACCATAAGGATGTGGGTATGGCTAAGCACAATTACACCCGTACCTACTCTCAGATGTAATATTTACTGAATTTTGAAATGAAATTAACAGAAGAGAGAGAGAGATTAGTAGAAAAAAGAGAAATCTATTTTTATAAAGGAGGAGTATATGTCTGAAAATGAGAAACATTCATATGCTAGACGTTTCTTCTCATATTAAGATTATCATAGTTCTATCTTTAACTATACAACAACATTTATAGAATCAACAATAACGTTCTATATAATTATTTGTATTTGAAGATTCTTACCACAACTAACAAAAGTCAGGTAAATGATACAATATTTTAGTGCCAAAACTATTAGCATTAGAAAAATGACTTTAAAGAACGAATTGAAAATAATTTGTGTGTAGTAAATGATCTATTTCAGTGATAAAGTAATAATGAAATTAAAACTTATATAGTTCCTTTATAAATTCATGAATAGATCTATTGAATTTAATCAATAAAATTACATCTAACATAGTTTGTGGATTATAGTAGGAAAAAAGAAAGCGTTCAGTATTTTTATTAATCAACAGTTATTTTAGTGATCTCTGAGACGATAACAATTTTGAATGATTTTCAACGAAATCCTTCAATATTTTAATCAATTTGTTCCAGAAACTATCTAATAATATAATGAGAACTACCTGTTTTAATTCTATGTTTAAATGATATTAATAGAAATTTGAATCTAGGTTCTGTTGACTTTGTATCATTCTTATGTAACAAAATACCCAATGTATTCTTGTTCTTATTATTACTTTTTTTTAGGATATCATTTGTAATGACATATTTACTTGAAGAACTATATTAGTACTATTATTAGAAGGTATTAAAAGTTTTTTTGGTATGAGAATCTCATTTGAATAAGATTATACGTAAAATATATCAAATACCTTCTCTGTCTATTAATTATTTTTTATAATCTTCTATTACATCTGTTCTTTTAAACTAATTTTTAAAAGAAATACCCATATATATTAAATTTTATGAAATAGTAAAATAAGATCTGTTTATTTAAAGAAAAGTATATGTCACGACTTTTCTTTTGCGTTATCCTAGATGTATTCATTTATAAAGAGATTTCCAAGTATTTACATCATTGATATATTGAGAGGTGGGTGTGGATGCTAATATTGTTTCATACACTTGATTGATTAAGTAATTGAATAAAAATGTTAATGAAATATTTTTAGAATACAAATGTTTATATATTCATTAGTATTTGGAATTCTAAATTGGTTTTTATCGTTAATAAGTCTAATGATATTTGTTTTTATATTTTTAATTTTTATTGAAATAATTCATGAACAAAGATCAAAGGATCCATCGATATTATTAATATTAAATACATGTTTTTCAGCATTTTTAACATCATTAATAATAATAATAATGATTAGTTCAAATTTATTTCATAAATTTCGGTTAATCCATATAAATATTTGTTCTATATGTGGTTTACTTTATGATATATTTGAATGTTCAATTTATTATAGTTATTGTTTACATGCATTTTATCGTTTAATTCGAGTTATTTATTATAATAAAAGAAATCTTTTATCATATAATTTATATAAATTATTAATATTAATTCAATGGTTATTAATAATATTATTAATTTTACCAACATATTTTTTAAAATGGTATATCCATTTACCAACTGAAAAACATTGTCTTATTCCATATACAAATATAATTGGTTCATTTTATTTAATAGTATTTTTATATTTAATTCCATTATTAACAATAATAATGATATATGTATTAATAACGAATCATATTCGTTCACCAACAATAATTCGAATCCAAGAACGTCAAAGAAATTTAAGAGATTTAACAGCTATTAAACGTATTATAGTATGTGTATTAATGTTAATAATATTACGTTTTCCAACAATAATATTTGTAATATTTGATTTAATTAATGGTGATTTAAATTATTTAACATGTCCTATTATTGGTTTTGTAACAGCAATATGTTTAATTTTAATAGGTATATTAACTATTTTAGCTACAAATAAAATTAAAAAAAATCTTCTCAAACATCTTAATCATCCTAGTACACAAATACATCCAACTCATAATTGAGTATTATTTAAAATGATTCAAAAGATTTTTCTAAACAATAATTAACATTGAATTTATTAAGAAAATATTTTATCGTCATGTCTAAATGTTGTCTAGTAGAAATCAAGCTTTTTTTGTTGTCTTTTAAAAATTATTCGTTATCACTTCAATAAACTTATTCACAAAAGAAAAACAAATTTACATTTTTAATCAATAGTTCTCTTTCTCGTAGAGAAGAGTCCAGTAAACATAAATTGTCTGATTGCTTGTTTGTATCTCCGCGGGGTCGAAAAAAATCGAAGATCTATTTTCCACGGTTTTCAGTTGTTTTTCCAGTAAATGTGAAGAAGATGCATTTCTACGAGAATGAGCTAAGCGAGTCCTCGGATGAGTGTTACTTGTTTTAATTAACATATGAACTATGTTGTCATGAAAAATGATTCTGTTTCTTTTCGAGATTCTCGAATTTTACGTTGTAGAGTATATAAAGGTTACGTCGACCGAAAGAAAAAAAGATGTATAAATAAAATCTACAGAGTTATATATTAATTAAAAATATCGTATTCACTTCAAGAATAATGTTCTAGAATATATTGAATATCAATAAAAGATTGTTCTAATTATAATATCAAAGAGTATTTATATACCAAATGTTATGATATATTTATTATTATCAGGATTATGCATTATTAATTTATCTACTATATATTTATTTTATTCATTTTTTACTCGTACGCTCCTGATATATAAAAATATGTACATGGTGAATAAAAGTTGTAATTATTACAAAAATATAATATAAGTCTTTATTGGAAAAGAACATTTTGATATTATTTTAACCGTTGGAATACAACTTGATTCAGTAGAACTTGTTTTCGTAAATTCAATCAGTTTATTATAAAGACCACTACTAAAATTTTTCCTTATATTATTGTATCAGTGTAAGTGTAAATGTTGATTTTGATTAGGAGTAGACATACCCACACTCATAACCATATACGTTAATTTCTGATTATGATAATTTCACTTGAAGCTGTAGTATCGGCTTGTAGCATATTGATCATGATGTAATCGCTGTTGAACAATTCTTGCTATATGATGTCATGTACAACGATATAATGGTAGAACGACGTTGTTGATTTTGTTTGATAACTTTAGAGCTATTAGTTGGTATTGAAAGAAATGTCTTTTCATTTTTTGTTCGATTTCGTGACTTGAAGAAATTGGTGACAAACTCATTACCGATTACAATTGGTACGTGAGGCAGTTTCTTTCTTAATACTAAATGTTTTCTATACATTGGTGAGGTAACCAAGTAAATGTAGGCAGAGCACAAATAGTTGACATAAATAAGCAGATGAATTACTTCTGAGATCAGCTGTTCCCATGCTATCCGCACCGAAGTTTTGCTTATGTGGTGAGTATTTAACTGATAGATCTTAAGCGAAGCATAGGGTACGCTGCTAATTAACATAGCGACTATATCCATAAAGAGCATTGATGTGAGCTGTTGATTTGCATCTTTGATGCGTAAATACGTTTTGTAGGAAATCGGTCCTGTTCGCGATCGATGACGTATGATACGTAAATTACGTAAAGTGAGCCAAGTAAATATTGCGGTGAAGACTGGTGGTATAAATCCGCCTACTATGGATGTGTAGACAACAGTGAGCGTTGTACATATGGAATTATGAACTACACATTCAGAAGCCTTGCTAACGCTATAGCAAAAAGGTACAAATAAGCATACTAAACAGCAAAGGATTGTACAGATGAGAATAGTATAGCACACAGTCATAGGTTTGCTAAACTGACGCCAATGACTGCGTCGCTTGTGTGTCGATGCATATCGTTCACACGATGCAAAGATAAGAAGTATCGTGTTGAGTGTGATGAGTACATAAACAATATAGTATCGCAATTGGCATACGAATGGAAAAATAACCATCGGATTCCATTGAAAACCAACGCGGAGAACGCGAATGAGAAGAGTATTATGAATATACAAGAGATCAACAATACTGAGAGCTAACAAGAATAAACAGCATGGATTTGAACGAAGTGCTGATTGTGAAAACACATATATGTTTAGTAGGCCACCGACGAGTCCGATTCCATAAAAACTTATACCAACGTAACGTGAGAAAAACGTCTTCAAGCTATTTAAATAGAGAATGGTGTTCGTTGCTTCTGTGGTACAGTTTATCATAGAAGAATTACTACAAAAAAAAAGAAGACGGGTTAGCAAGGAAGTGTGTTGAATTTAGAATCTTAAATGATAACAATACATGTCATTGCAATAGATCAATATTTTGTTCTTACACGATGCATTTAGCTTTAAAATGCAAGCATTTCGAGAGTGGGTGTGGGTGTCGATGTGGATTCATTTTTTCTTTACTCCACATCCACATCCACACCGACATTCACCTTACCCAGTTGGATTGCGAAATGTTATTTCTATTGCAAACGATTTTATTTCAAAAACTTATAATCGAGATTCAACTTACCAAAGTATCATTATTTTACAAGTTGTAGACAAGTAACAATACGGCTGTAATACAATTTAATTATATGCCTTTGACAATCTCTGATACTGTTATTCAACGAAAAAGAGTTTATCTCTTTTGATAAAGCTCGCAATTATTCTCGGGTCGTAGAAAAATTTCTTGAATGTCTTTTACTCAATTTTACCAGCTAAGCTGTAATGAATATGTGCATACTCGATTACAATTTCATAATGTTCCGTCTACTCCGTTGTCGATATTATATTTCTTCTAAATTTAGAAAAAACATATTTTCTTCCTTTCTTTCTATACTGTAGATTCTTCTGTTACCTATTATAATGATCACGATTATTCTTCATCTGACCTGACCTTTTTT